ACCGTGGAGGCAGGGCCTATAGGCTAGAGCGTCATGGAAAGCCGCAGTTGCTTGATCCATTATCAGATCGTCAATTGAATCACAAATCAGCAAAGCAACTCGCAGTGCCACTGTCAATGCCTGGTGAACGCCACTGAGCGTTGCTGGAAATGCTGTAACATGATGGTCGTTTAGCACAGCCCGAATTGATGCGATGTCGGCTGCTGATTCTAACTGTTCGACCCAATTGGGGCTGTAAATGCTTTTGAGATCAAGCAAGACGGTAGCTGTCATTTCTTCTTTGCAGCTGTTTGCCATAGTCGACTGAATCTGTGGGTTTGAGAAACGTGTTTCTGATTGCGACAGGTGTTTAAATGTAGATTGCGTTTTGGGCACGTGTCTGGGTCTCGCTCAAGAATTCAAGTGCCACCAATAATTACTAGTAGCTGAGATAGTTGGAGCCAGATGAATTGACATGTATGTGGGATTGTACAGCATTTAAATTCTGGTTAGGCCTCCCATGTGATTGTGACTGCACTTGTGATGGAAGCAAGGTAAAGGATGGGATCATAGACAGGAGAATCTGTTCTTGCTTGAACGAGAAAGATCCTTGCCTGAATGTGATAGGCCAAGCTAGCTAAGACAACAAATCCTTACTTTTTCTATTATTTATTGCCTCCTAGAACTCCGAGTCATACTGTGACGTGTTACCTAGTGATTTGAGGAGCACAATTTGAGGGGAGGGTCAAGTAACGAAAGGGATGCCAAATGTGCTATATACCAAATCTGATATATCTTGGATGTAGTGCTTTCAGCGGTCATTGGCAGGGCTTATGGGTAATTCCTGTTTCCGGTGTGTATCAACCACTGCATGAATGTACGTCACTCCTGATTGGGAACTACTCGTGCTACCCTATCTTCGTGCTACCCTGACTAAGATGGAAACAAAAAGAGAAATCGAGCAGTCAGGCAGCGGCGATAGATGATGCAGTTACTCTGACAGAAAGAACAGCCGGTAAGGATGCTACTAGTTGTGGAGGCAATAGCAATTCTAGTTCTAAGCAAGAGCAAGAGGTAGGTGGGGGTATCTGATCAGGTGGATATGATTAACTCATAGGCAAGAAATTCTGGTCACTTTCCTGTTGTTTCACTGAATCGGTTGCTATCTTGTACACGTTGCAGTGAATCCAGCATTGCCTCTATCTTGGTTATATTGCATTCACACTGCTGACTTTCCATTGATTTGACGTTGGATCCAATATTGTATGTCAAGACGAAGTGTCAGAGATATATGGATTTGATCTATTTAGATCTCAAGAAGATAGTTGGTTGGTTGGAAGAGGTGGTCAGAGGCCACGCAGGAAGAAGAGGCAAAGGATCGGCTGACAGCTGCCTGGCTTCAGTGAATGTCTCAGCATTGTATGACAGGACGTGCAGGGATGGAAGCAAGCTCTACTATCAAATTCGCTCGCATGGCTCTCTGGTGTGATATCACATACCCTCCAGCTCTGCGCTTTCCGGGCACTTCTATGCTCTCCCTAGTTTCTCTTTTGCTTTGCAACCATCCCTTCTTGCGTACTGCCCAGAAGACGTCCTCTTTCGACGAGGCCCGTGTCAACTTGATTCTTCGCGCATGTCTACGCTACGCACTACCGCTATCATACTGCACACCAGTGTCGATAATCTCACTTTGACATGTAGGGTATTTATTCTTATGCACCTACCCATAGACAGGTCGGTAGAGAGAACAGGGTCATGTGTTCTTCAGTCGATCTCATTATGATAAAATGCCATATATGTTGTTAACCCTATTCATTGTGAGAGCTTTTTTTAGCAGAATGTAAGATACCGTCTACCAATATCCCAAAGATATAGACGGCACGTATCTACGGAACCCACTGAAGTCGCTCAGTACCACTGACAAACTGTGTATGCTGGTTTAGTACTTAATACTGATTGGCACAGATCGTAATATACTAGATTCAGCGTCAAGTGACCTAGGCATGTTCCGCTTAAGGCAGGGAGACAGAACAGGAAATTAGTCTCTTCAACCACAAGGGTATTGATGACCATCACTCCATCTCTTGAATTGAAAATCTTATTGCCTCGACTAAGAGGCTTAGTTGTCTAAAGAACGGAGCGTGGGACAAGAGCTACGGGGCATAGGTCAAAGAAAGATGTAAACGATCTCAAGTCTGAGATGTGAGGGTAACACATATTTTGAGACCCTATGTGGCCTTCCTTTCATCCAAGGACGTGTTGCCACCGTGACGTGCTTTCTGGTATCCCGAGTTCGTCCACTTATAGCTATGCTTCTTCATGACTGATCTCTGTGACTCCTGTTACTTCGCGCGCCTCGCTTTACTAGTTAGCCTGGAGAGGGTACTGATGTGCGTGGGCTTCGTCATGTACCTGCTTCCTTGCTTCGATTATCTTCTCGTATGCCCTCCGTCTATCCGCCCTTGCTTCCTATAAAGGGCTTACTGCTCTAAGCTGAAGAAAGACCCTGCCTTCTGGGTCACCCACATCACATTTGGAGGTGCGACTCTAGTATTGATCCTAATTGAGCGGCCCGCTTTCTACACTGCATGTGATGCATCAAGGGTGGCAACTCGTCGGATTCCCGGAGGTCTCGAAAGATTGCAGCAAGGCAAGTTCATGATTCTGCAACTGATGGGGCTCATTTTCTTCTCAAAATATGTCAATTATTGTCAGTATATTCTCGAGGCAGATAAGCACTAGACCCATTTAGGTCTCATAAAAATTATCTTACGTCTTCCCTGCTTACGATCACTTTTGGAACCCTTTATGTTATTGCCATTAAGCAGTCTAATAACAGACGTCAGCCGCCTTGAAAACCTGGCCTAAACAGGCTTTCGATGATTGGCAACCTCCACCAGTTGGATGTTAATTGACCATGGGAAACAATCCACAAATGGCTTCAGCGTTATGACCCTCTATTTGGGGCTCAAGTCATTCATTATAGAACCAAGCATTGATCCTCACAGTAGCCTTACCGATTTACATTAGTGTGTACCCTTGAGTCTCCTCACAAGGTGCTCGAAACCTCTTTACAAAATCTTGATATCAGACTAGCTACATTGGGTGGGACTATTATACAAAGGGTAAACTAGAATCTAATTACACTTCTTCCTATGAGATTACTAGATCATTTCCCCTTGCCTTTCCTTTTGCCCTCGGCAGTGCAAGTGTTCTCAATATGAGAACGAACACGTTAACTAGCCAGCTTCCTTGCACGTTCTTTGTATCGATTGCGGGAAAGTTCAATTTTCAGATCCGTATGTGAAACGTTCCTCAGCCGCTACCAACAACAGCCTTCTCTCCGCCTCCTCCTCACCTTCACTTCTCCCCTCGGCTGCTATCGCCTTTCGTAGACCCAAGTACCCCAACACACCCTGCCCGACCGCAAAAATGACCTCATCGACGGTCATATACCCCATGGACATCCACCAATGCAAGAAGACCAACAGCCAGGGCTGGGGCAGAAGAGGATCATCGGGCGGCGGCGGCGGATCGTATGCTCGCTCCTGTTGCCCTGGGGGCAAGCGGAAAATCCAGAGGATAGCCGAGAGCGCGAAGATAGCAGCCTGAAAAAGGCGGGAGCGGGCAAGGAGGCGGTTGAGATCTGTGGGGGTGGTCGGTGATGGGGGATGAGACGGAGGAATCATCAAGGCCTGTTCGCGGGGCTCCTGATGATGCTGCCTACTTGGTTGTCCTTGTCGTCGCTGTCGCATCTGGCGCTGTGCTTGCTTATAGAAACCCAGAACAGGGAGAATCACCGTCGTGATGGGCAAGAGAAAGAAGCAGTGGATGCCGCGGAGGAAAGGGACTACGTCCCGCTCCGGCAGCGGGCAATCGTGCGGATTGCTCGGCGGACAGAAGATGTCCGTGGTGAGGTCTAATATGAGCGGGATCAGAGTGAACAGCAGGAAGAAGGAATAGAGAGCGAGGATCAGGAGGATTCGCAGACGATGACGATGGGGTCGGGTGGGAGGGGAGTAGTAGAGACACAGCAAGAAGCTGGGGTTGTGGCATTTATAGACAGACAGTTAGCCAGATGGTAGGCATCACAGCGAGATGTGGTGGTGGGGCTGGTTGTTTGGACTTACAAGACGTTGGACAATACCCAGTCTCCTAATACTTGAGCGAGATTGACCCAGTCCAAGGGGGCGACAGAGAACGGCGATGAGGGCAATCTGGAGACATCCCAAAGACAGGCGGTGTCAAGGGATTGAAAGAAGACATGCTCGGTGATGCAGAGCAGATTGAAAAGCAGGTAGGCAGTGGAGATCCCCCGGCTGTCTTTCGTCTGCCACACATGCTTGACCTGGGGGAGAAAGGAGGCCCATGATAGGGCAAGGATAATCCTGATTTAATCCTCGGTCAGCAAAAAGAGCACACCAAAACAACGGGAAGGCATTTTGGCTAAATAAAGTCATACAAACTGAAAGGAAAAACGAGCGTCCGCCCCATTGGATTGAAATTTTTGGGAACTAGGATCCTCAAAATGTGCGAAGTGCTGTCGGATGCTGTGGGCGGCCGAGGATTAAGAAAAAGTTAGAAAGATAGGCTCCCCGTCCCATAGTTATATAAACAGCGCAAGACACATGCCACTATTTTAGCGGCCCCTTAGCGTCTTGGAATTGAGGACGAGGAGAAAAATGTCTTAGGGATAGGGCATCTGCATGTTACAAACAAGTTAGAAAGATACAGAGCACGTGATTATCACAGAGTGACCGGTTTAGAAGAAATGAGCAACAACACCTTGGAGAAATAAAGTACTATCTTTCTAGCTACCGCAAAAGCTGTTATTGGGCTCTTTATACCATCTCGAAGACTACAAAGTCAATCATGGTAGACGGCCATGATGCTTACCGCCTGAGCATGGGATATAACGTAATGTATATTACAGTACCATATGTTACAATACAATGCCAGTCCATAATCACAATATAATACATAGGGTTCGGTCAGGGCTACATGCCAGGTAAATTCAGACCTTAATCGTCTTGCATCAAGTCCAGAATGGCATCGCGATACAGCGCCATACCCGCGCTTCGCGGATGGAATGTTTTAAGCTGTCGAGTCGGCTTCAACCACCCAATATCCTGAGCCGTGTAGTTCCCATCAGCGACTTCGCTATTGGCGCGAGACACCATCTGCGCGAGCGCTCCATCCGGATCATTGACGACTGTCGCGGCCACTTAACACCAGTACACATCCACGGGGTCTGGATTGGCCCCCAGTGTGGTGTTGCAAGTATGACCGTCGGGCAGCGGCAGGGTCGTTTGTCCCTGCAGGCTGCTGATGTAGTCGCTTTCGTCGTCCGAGGAGGCCTGCTGGATGGCGCCTTCCTCAGTTATGTCCGACCAGCCGCTCAGGAAGAAGAAAGTGCTGGGGTATGTGGCATCAGGCTCTTTCACCCCGCCTTCACACCAACGGTGGCCCTCAAAGCGGGCATCCACGTCCGCGTAGGCGATGTTCATGGATTCGCGGCGATTGTTGGCATCCGTGATCGCATTCTGGATCACTTTATCGATGTCTTCAACGAATTAGTTCAGCTCCTTCCGCACGCTCGTCGTCAGTGCGGTGTAGGGATTGGCGGTGTCCACACCCCAGTACCTGATATTGACACTGTTGCAGTACGTGGTCTGGGCGTTAAAGAGCTTGGGATATCCGACAACGTAGAGATAGACTTGCTCGACGAAGAGAAATCTGGTTAGCGGGCGGGTTCTACATGAAGCGCAATGCAATGCACAAGCTTATCCGATTGCTATCTGCCTGTCCTCGTATATCGCGATAGATGTTCGATAGCTGGGCCTGTAAGCCCTTGTCGCTCGTGTCCGTCATGAGATCCTGAGCGGCCTGCTTAAAATGCGCACAGAAGTAGTTATACGAGGGAGTAATTGACCAGGGCTGCCATCGCAGGATACATTGCATGAGAATATCTGCAAAAGTGATATAATTACCGCCCACCGTCACTGTCACCACTCTGGTCTTATCAGTATTCATCCAGCACTCAAGCTTTTCACGCAGCCTAGAGAACTTGTCCCATTAGTACTCAAGTAATATACTCTCTATCGGTATGGGAATTACCAGTATAGAACATTTTGCAGCGAGTGAGGAATCTAAATCCAGGGCTTCCCAGGCTCAGAGAATGGTTCTTTTATAATAGCTTGCCAAGATTATATAGTAAGACCATTTTTAACAGAATGAGCCATGCTCAGCCATCTTAAGCTAGAATGGATGTATAGTTATGAGCTCTCCTGTATATAATGTCATTACTGTGGACTCCTGATAAGTTAAGTTTCTATAGACGTATACATATTTCTATCCCCAAGCTTGATCTAGAAGAATCGGGTAATTGGATGCATTGCTGAAAATTCAGATGACTCACGAGTTGCCTAAGACTTGTCGCATGTAGCGTGTTTGAATTTCGTCTCCTCCATCGGCTCATACTATATGATCTCCAAATCCACGGGTGCCGCCGCAGGAATAAAAACGTTGGGCTGTTCGCCCGGCTCCCGTACGGTCCAGCTTCCCGTGGCTGGAATTGTGACTGTCGTCTCCAAATGGTCCTCCCGACTTCCCCAAACCCACCAGTCGAGCCGGATGCCCTTGAAGAGACACCGGATCCCCTCCCCAACCCGGGCTTCTCCACCATCATTGCTCTCCATATCCGTGAGTAAATGAAGCCGCAAGACCTCGGATCACGTTTCTCCTGGACGCAGACTGGCAAAGCCATTATCACGGCCTGGCGAGACCTGCATGTCAGGGTCATCAACGAATGCCCATCCTCCACCGCAGACGAACCCTTCCACATTGACCCACCGATCCCGCCAAACCCAGAGCTCGACGGTCAACCCTGCCGTGTTGAAAGTAAACGGCCTACCACCGCTACCACTTGTTGGCACGTACGTCACATGAAGGGTCGCAAGCACGAGGTCATCCTGTAAAGCCACCTGGTCCTGGGGGCAACATTCGACTTTTGCAATCAGAGTAGGACGGCATTCTTGCGCTCCAATCATATGGGTACATAGGGAGCTTAGCATGTGTTCTGGGGTAGTACAAGCAGTAGAGGAGCAAGGAAGGTTCTCACCCGGAGATCAATGTCGGCATGATCGGCATGTTCTCATTGTCCTCGACTGTGAAGGATAGGAAGGGCCCGCCTGGCAAGACAACTTTAGAGTTTTCTACTTTATCGGTCCAATTCCATGAGCCATATTGTTGACCGGGCCAGAGGAGTACATATCGCTCGCCTGTCTGTAGGTATGGGATAAGACGGTCGGGGATAACATCGTAATATTGCTGCACATTGCCGGGCTTATGGATATTGTAAGGGGAGAAGTGCCCATGTTCTAGTTGGGGGAGTATAGTATACTCCGGGAGTTTGACTTGGTGCAGCTCGCCCTGCGCGGTACATTGAAGAAGAATGAACCCGTTTGAGGTAGCAAAGCCATGGGTCTGCGGGTACCATGCAAAGACACAGTGATCGCTAACCTCATCAACCCGCTGTAGGGTCACATGAAACAGGTATGGGGATGTGCGTGACAGTCTTCCCGGACCTTGAAGAGCGAGTGAAAAGGCAGGCGCGTCAGACCTATTGCAAGTCGCCACTAGGTTAAATTATTGGATCATAACTCCGTTGAGTGGCGAGATCAGCTCACCGACGGTCCTTTTCTGTATATTGCAGAAAGGGTGTCAATGATTCTTCCATTTCAGGAGGGAGGAGGTGATGGGCAGTTCGCTGTCGATTTGTTACAGTCGAAATGGGGAGCTGAAGTGGATTCAAATATCATTACCCTGGAAAGATTTTGACGACAGGCCGAATGGGTAATAGAAAGCAGGGTTTATATCAAAAATGTGTATTGACAAAAGAGTGGGGGTGAGGCTAACTTCACCTGGCACCATCTCCGGAGTCTTGAAGCGGGAAGTTCCGCTGACACATTGCCCCTTACGATGCGGCTAATCTACTTGAACCTGGAGCCTGTGCATCGAATGTTGCCGCCCGGATGAAGCACTACTCCGTATGCCTCCGCTGTATTGGTATTAATGTGAATGGTATGGTACAGTACAGCCGATACCATGCAATTTAAAACTTTATATTACACCTAATGTATAACAACCATACCGAGGTTCTTATGTGTCCCGATTCGACCTGATATATCAAAATTTACTAGCAATAGATAATGATTATCTCTTCGGACAAATGATCCTTTCATATACAATTACGTGACTGCTCATAATTATATCTGTCGTGTTTATTGTTCACCGGGAGTCCCAAAGCTGGTGACTTGATTTATACCTGCTTCAAGAAACAGCGATAGATAGTGTATCATCATATACGTCCTAAAATATATACCATCATCCAATATCCAGTAGATTTTCACTCTTGAAGCTTAAGCAACGAATCACTTTCGAACAAGTATTGCCTCACCTGCACCCACAAGGACCTTGCCATTAATCACCGTATCGTACGTCTTTCGTCCCACAATCCGGGCATTCTGATCAACATGTTGGCCAGCAAATGTAATATTACCAGCGATATCCACACCAGGACTTGTCAGCCTAGAAACCTTTGCATTTTCCCAGTCAGCTGTAAGGGCTAGCGCTGTGTAAGGCCTAGCAACCGGGTCAGATGTTGAGTTCCAGATGTTAAGGTTGACCGCCACAATAGCATCTAGGCTTCCGGCTTGGTAGACCGCATATGCACCGAAGTTTGTTTCGTTGACAAGAACTTCCGTCTGCTTGTTCCCGCCTGCAAACACAGCAGCGTTGAAGAGATTCCCATAGTACATTGGGTTGACGTGGGGAGCACTGTCGTTGTAGAGAACAGGCTGCCAGGGTGAGTAGCGATAGCGTGTTCCCATGTGAAAATGAACACGGGATACCTTGAGTGAGGATAGATACATGACATAGTCAATGGCCCAGACAGCAGATGCCATAACGTCTGAGATATTGAACGCGCCCTGGCAAGAAATGGAGTTAGTCTCACCGATGACATATTTGATACCTGAGTTCGCTGTCGCATTGCCCAGATAGTCATGGTACCAAACACGAGAGAGCATGTTGGTGCGATCGAAAAGGGTATCTTCGATTGTTGGCCCAGCGCCCGTATAGTGGCAATTAGCTCCCATATACTACGAAGCCCCTGTTAGCAGACAGTCCATAGATGCATTTACTGATCTTATGCTCATTCACCTCGTGGTCGGAAACCGTCTTTGTCTTGTCTGCACCCATACCATCTAGCTCCGCATTTTCAACATTCCAGTCCGTCCTTTCGTCGAGATGGCGAGGTGCCTCAAATGCACATCCTTGGAACAATCTCGTTGCGTCCTTACCAGTCAAGTTCCGACTGATAGCCGACGCAAATTCGTTCCACTGGTTAACGTAGCGTTGGACTGTCCAATTCCCGTCTCTATGCTTACCATTTCCCCAGCCTGGTTTATACTGTTAAACGCAGGGTAGACAATCACAATCTGATATCGAGCCAACTTACTATCTACCTCATTACCAATTTCGAACGCATATAATGAGTTGCCCATGGTCTCGTAGGCAGCGTTTGCCTCGAGTACACATTGATCAAGGCCGTTCCCAATATTGTAATATGTCTCGTTTACCGTATTGAAGAAATTGAGGCCTTGCACAAAATTGTTAGCATTTTGTTCTCTATGGTGTCGTGAAAACTATACCATATATGTATTGGGTGCCATTGGGAAATTGTCTGAAGGATTGAAACCAAGAAGGGCCAACGAGCGTATGCGATGGCTGGTCAGAAGCGACAGAGCTAAATGGGTCGATTATAGCTTCGGTTTGATTCGGATAATATATGGCAGAGCTTTGGGTGCTGCCGCCCACACGGAAGATCGGATATGCGCCCGATATGTCGTAGAAGTTTTGGATCACTTGCCTTGAAAAAACGTTTGGGTGTCTTGTAAAAGTTAAAAGTACGTCACCAATGGTATCTAGGGTTGAACATACGTATCATTTCCGGCATAATCTGCCATGAACGAAAACTCGATGGAAAATGATTGATATGCTGCATCCACAATCTGCTTCCCAGGCCTAGGGCTAGCCGGCGGAGAAATTCTTATTTCGCGGGTAACATTGAGCTTAAGGGCTTGATCGGATACTGCAAATGGAATAAGAATTACAAAAGCGATGATGCTTGCAAGAGAAGGCATTATGGACACTTTGCTTGGGGCCACATTTGCAGTGAACAAGTCCGTTCAAAGCGTTCTTCGTTATGCTCTTATAGTAAAGAAACAGGCAAAACTGCCAGAAACCAAATTTAGCCGACCAAATATGTAGTCTGAAACGGCTGATGCTCTTTGTTCTTATTTGAGGAGAAATTCTTCCTTGTCCTTGATCTACAGCTTTGAACCAACGACCCCGCAGCTATCAGTTGTTTTGCCGCGGAAAACAGTACGGGCTGATTGAGAGCTTTGGCTGTCTTACATATATGCCTCTCCTTGTTATTTTTCCCTTCTTGAGACAGAGAGACTCATTTGTGGGGTGATAGTTACACTTGGGAGAGAGCAATATTTCTATACAATGCCTACATCTTGCCCCTACACCAGGACTAACAGACTAACTACTCAAGCATCATAAATATTATTAGTAGGCTAGTGACCTAGGTGTAATTATATATATAGTAGACCTTATACACCTGCAGCATGTGTTTCATTGCAATATTGTAGGCGTACATGAACCGGGCACCTTTAACCCGAGATTATATTAATTGATGCGTAAATCCCTGCAGATGAATGTCACCGTCCTCGCCAAGTCGGCAGCAAATCTTTCGCCGTTCGGAAAGTCATCCAACCTGTTTGGCAGCAACTCTAGAGGTAATGAAAAAGATGAAAGGTTTATGGTTCGAGGTAAAAAAGGTTTCCTTGTACTTTCAATACACACTCTGACTTGCGTTATTGTGATTCCTAGAGGCACACACCCCAGCCATGGCAATGGGCAGAAGAGTAGGATGATAACGTAAACCACCTGCAGGTTGTCCAATAGTTTCCGATCCAGTGTGAAGAGCAAATAAATTCTCACGTATTATAATTTATATATTTCTCTTGTTAATCACACTGACGGAAATTTCTACTCATCACGAATGACATTCTCAATCATCTGTCGGCAGCACCCAAGATACTGACATGGATCACAAAGGGACCTTAGCCTCTCCACTCCGACTTCAGCTACCAAACTATTATCCTGTTGAAGGACATCGATTAAGGGAAGATTTCCCTCAATTGCCTTTGTACAGGCCTCATAAACCACGTCATGTGCCCTCTGGCGACCAAGTTTCGGCGCAGTTCCCATCATCACTGCCTCCGCAACAATCAGGCCCTTGGTCATGTTGAGATTGTTTGACATGGCTTCAGTGTTGACGAGAAGGCCCTTCATAATGAAGTTCGCTTGGTGTAGCGCACCACAACATAGGACAAATGAATCTGGAACGCAGCTCCACTCCAGGTGCCAGGGGCCGGAAGCTCGTTCGAAATCGGACACCATGGCATCCAGAGCCAATGATGCGTTCGACCGAAGCAACTTCGAAGAGGCAAGTATAACTTCGCTTGATATAGGGTTTCGCTTCTGAGGCATGGTTGACGACGCTCCCCGAAATGGTACGAAGGGCTCAGCCACCTCGGCAACCTCGTTAGACGACATGATGATGATATCTATAGCGATTTTCCCTAGAGATCCCCCGATGAGTGCTAAAAAGTTGATGATTTCGGCAATGTGATCCCGTGCCACATGCCATGTAATTGATGGATCGTGTAACCCGAGCTCCGTCGCAAGTTGTTTTCGCACCTTTAGACCGGTATCATCCGAGCCGAGTGATGCCAATGTTCCTGCTGCGCCGCCGAACTGGACCAGCAAACATCGACGTTCTATTTCGGTCAATCGTTGGATATGCCGTTGGATACCAGAGAGATATACGGCGCATTTATATCCAAATGTGATTGGAAGAGCATGTTGGAGATGGGTCCTGCCTGCCATGGGTCTTGGAAGTGTCAGCACCTCTTTAACAGTGTTGCATTTCTAAGACGTACGTGTCGGCATATTTCTTCGAAAGAGACTTTAGAGTTGCATCCAACTCATGAAGGTTCCGACGGACGATAACAAGTCCTCTACGCATTTGCACCATTGAAGCGCAGTCCATGATATCTTGTGTTGTGGCACCCCAGTGGATGTACTTGGCATGTTCCTCGGGCACCATCTCGGCCAATTGCCACACCAGCGGCAAGACAGGATACCCAACATTTTCGGTGTCTGCGGCCATGCGGTCGAGGCTATTTTCATAGATGTTATTAGTCCGTAATTGTAGGGTTCGGAAAGAGGGATACATACTCTAGGTTTTCGTACTTGGTGTTCTCTGCGATAACATTGGCCGATTCGTGTGGGATAACATTCACCTTTGCTTCAGCCCGCGCAAGAGCAATTTCAACTTCAACCAAGCACTTGATGTAAGCTTCATCTGAGAATATGTCGCGGATTTCTTCCGTTCCAAAAAGATTGCGGAAAATGCGGGAATCGACCGCACTGTTCAACATTGTTTGGGATGTGTATAGGTGATGCTGCTATGAAAAGAATTGAAGGTATGCGCAGTGCGATGATTGTGGCTGGTGAATTTCCCTTTAATTGAGAGCGATCGGAACAGTCACTGGTATTCCGAAGACTACGCTGGTATTATGCCGGAGTTTGGTACTATTCCGACGGGATAGGCCTTATCCCGAAATTAGTCTCCCGAGCCAGCCCTATTCCATCCCCGCAATTTCGGGCTAACCACGCGTCACTCTTCTTAGCTAACATGGGGTACCTACATACCCCCAGGCTCTTCTACACAATCATCCGGGGAAGAGTGTCTGGTTGTGGGGTAGCCTGTCAACTATAAATGCATTCAAAATGGACTGCATATATCGTCACCGTTGTTCATATTTTTTTTTTTTTTGACAAGGATCCTGTGAACAACAGTGGTCATCAAGCATGGCACTCCATGGTCACGTACTGTCGCTTTCCCAGTTGATTCTGGTAGTATGCCCTGCCTTTTTCCTCTTTGGCTACAATCAAGCCGGCGTCGGCGGTCTCGTATCTGTGGAAGACTGGACCATAACCTTCCCCGAAATCGATACTATCCACACATCAGGCGCCTTGAAAAGCCACAATTTAACAGTACAAGGTGTTGTTATCTCGACATTTACCCTTGGTGCATTGGTTGGGTCTCTTTCATGCTCATTGATCGGTGACATCTTGGGAAGAAGAAATGTCATATTTGCAGGCTCACTTGCAACGTTGATTGGGGAAGCCCTATGTTGTTCCTCTTTTGGGCTCGCTCAGTTGATTGTGGGAAGGCTTATAATTGGAATCGGCATTGGAATGCTTAGTGGAACAGTACCTGTCTGGCAGTCCGAATGTTCATCGGCACATAATAGGGGCAAACATGTTGTTCTGGATGGCCTTTTCATCAGCGCCGGGTACGCAATAACATCGTGGGTTAACTTGGGACTCTACCATGTCAAAACCGGTTCAGTTGCCTGGAGAGTGCCACTGGCAATTCCGGGGTTGGTTTCGCTAATCCCCATGTTTTCAATTTTCTTTCTCCCAGAATCTCCTCGATGGCTTGTTCAAAAGGGCCGCCTTCAGCAAGCTCGTGCAACATTAGTCAGTCTGAACAATTCATCAGCCCAGTCGGAAGATGTGAACGGCGATATTGCGGCAATCCAGTCAACACTAAAGAATCACTCTCGCGGTGTCTCAATAATGGATATTTGGCGCCCAAACGATGAAAGGTTATTCTACCGCTTCGCTCTGTGCATCATGCTCCAGTTCTACCAGCAAATGTCGGGAGGTAAGTGCCCATAGAAGACACGCCCTACACGTATGCAGACCATAGTTGACGCAACTACTTTTAGGAAACCTCATCTCAGTCTACGCTCCGATTATCTTCGAAGATAACCTCCAAATGACCAGCACGATGTCTCGAATACTGGCTGCCGCGACGCTCTCGTGGAAGTTTCTCTCGTGTTTCGTGGCTTTTTACTGCATCGATCGGTTCGGTCGCCGCGTGGTGTTTATTGTCAGCGGGTCGGGGATGTCGCTTTGTATGCTGGCCTTAGCAATCACCACGAGCTTTCCACATACAAACAAGCCCGCTTCGGTTATTTCGGCGCTTTTTATTTTCTTGTTTAACTTCTTCATCCCCATCGGGTTTCTGGGTGCCAACTTTCTATACTGTACGGAGGTAGCGCCGCTCCGGCTGAGAGTTGCTATGGCTTCGATCTCAACCGCAAATCATTGGCTTTGGTAAGCTTCCTTTCTTGTTGCAGACATTTTCATACAAAGTGCCAGTGCTGATTTGTTAGGAATTTTGTTGTCACGATGATAACTCCTGTTGCAATCAACAATATTGGCTATCAGTATTATATAGTATATGCCGTGATTGGTGCATGTATCCCTATCTCGGTGTATTTCCTGTATCCGGAAACTATGGGGTGGAAGCTGAAAGACTTGGATATACTGTTCAAACAAGGGCTGAGCATTCGAGGAATTGTTAGGTCGTCTTATAGGCCTCCAAACTGTGATGTAGAAAGCCGGGTTTCATTTGAAAAAAAGTGAGGTTGAAAAAGTTGAGAACAAGGACCTCTAGATATATATCACTGATTACCAACAAGATTCAGAGTCGAACATGTCTTCATGTTATTCAAGAAAATATGCATACCTTGAAATATATAGTAAATACTTCCTCTTCACTTGTTGTGCAGAACATCGACAATAGTATGTCGTCGGCCATTATCATATGCCCGCGTTCTATGTGTGAATGCAGCTGTCCGTTTTAACACGCAACCAGCATCTATTATGGTAGGTGAAGCGAGGACAGTAGGTTACGGAATAGTTCCGACTGCCTTTTCCTGTCTCGGTTCCAGCCGGACTCACGTGATCAGGTGCTTCCAGACCCGCTTGGGACTTTCCCCGCGCCTCAACATTCCTGTGAATCAAATCTGATTGTATAGCGATGTACCTCTGGCATAACAAGTAGGATGGAAACGACTGGACACAAGGATGTCATACATGGGATGCAGTTCTCCTCTCAAGTGTGGTGTGTATGCGTTTCACCAACTGTACCGGATATGTTGCTGACGCACATTTTTCTAGCGATCGTTGCCGCATGTAAGTAGATACTCACAGACTTCTAGATTGGTCGGTAAAAACAAATAAAGAAAGAAAATGCTGACTGGGCATAATCTAGAAAGAAAATACGTTGCGATGGATTACTACCATCGGTATATACCTCTCATCTACCTCACAAGCAAACAAATTGAACTAATAGGGTGAGACCGTTGTAGTGTAGCAACTGTAGAACGTCTGGAGCTGCCTGTGTCACATCTAAGCAACTCAAAAGGCGAACGCGGCCCAGAAGGTCAGTGTCGTATTGCTAAGCTATTTTTTGCTTTGCTACAGATGATGTTGACGATTTCGCTAGGCACCTTGAGCAACAAGAAAGGTTGTTGGACGAGCTCAGGGTCCAGAATGAGAATTTGCAGCGCGAAATCCAGCAACTACGTGCTAGCCATTCTAGGAATATTGACACATCTGTGTGGAATGATACTTCAAGTGGACTTCAAGCCCCCAATTATCCAGTACTGCAAGTTGCAGGTTCGTCTGATGCGGCAACTACTCCAACTCAACAAACTCAACCTATCATAAAGCATCTGGGACGCTTAGTGCCCTTAACACCGAGTGTCAATCGATTCGCAGGATCAACAACAGGGATATATTTCATACGCTGTGCCGAATCAGTATATAAATCTCTTTTCCACCAAGAAGAAGGTTTTCCAGATGTTGTTAATCGGCTCCATTTACTCGGAGCTTGCCCAGAATATTCCCAACATCTGCATTTTTTGAACTCGATTGATCTTTCTCGACCACCACATTTCATGCTCGATAAGCCACGAGCATTTTACCTGGGTGCTATAACAGAGTTTTTCCAATCTTGGTCGTCTATCTGGCCAATACTCATGAAGAAGCAGTTCCTTTCTGCCTTCCACCGGATCTTCGATCGTGTCGAGGCCCACGACCCTAATCTCTCACCGTCTGACTATGTCATTCTGAGGCAAATATTTCTTGTCCTCTCTATTACCGCATGGAAACGTCGATCGCCCAAAGAGTGCAACACTTACTACCTTAATGCCCTGGAATGCGCTCGGTTAACGACTGCACCTGAAAATGAGGACTTTCCAGGACTTCAGTCCCTACTTTTAACCTGTCTATATCTCCAACTTACACGGAAGCACGATGAGTGGATACAACTATCTGGTCAGGTTGTTCGACTTGCACAGTGCCTAGGTCTCCATCGACATTCCCGACGCTTCCAATTTTGTGCTGGAGAGATGGAGGTAAGAAAACGCATATGGTGGTGCGTTTACGCTGTAGATGTGTAAGGCTCCCAACCAACAAAGACTGCCTGTAAGTCACTAATCTCCATAAACAGTGCCTGTAGCGTAGTACACGGTCTGCCGAAAATGATCCAGGACGATGATGTGGATACCGACCTACCTGTTGACACGGATCTGGACGACGCGAGTGCCACTGACATACTACTCCCCCTTCCGGGAGAGACAACAAGCATGGCTACATTCATCCTCTACGTGAAATTGCTCAGGATATTCTCCAGCTGCCTCAAGTCGCTATATACGACTACCAAACGACGTAATGGTGTCGCCAAAATTACTGCACTGGACCACGAGCTCTCGGTGTGGCGCCATAGTGTAGTCCAGTTCCAAGGAAATGAGATGAAAGACCATGAAGATGGTCTACCGGACACTCTTCATATGAACTCAGCAGATCAGTTTTTTGAGACACTATTCCTGCTCTTCTTAGGAAACGTGGCTGTTGTCTTGATTCATCAGCCAGCATTGACATTCGACCCGAAGCACCCTCAATTCATGAAGAGCCTGTCGAGGTGCATTCGTGCAGCACTCAATATACTCAGTATGTTGGGAAGCAATCATGATGACCGGAGACTTCATTGCCTGTTCCCGAACAAGTCATCCATAGTCTTCCAGTCGACACTGCTGTGCTTCTATCATCAATGGACGTGCACGGCGGCTTCATTAACGCCAAGCCACAATCTTAATCCCTTGATGGGCAGAGTAGTAGATACTGCCCTCAAGCTCCTAGATATGCACAAGACGGAACTGGTTTCTTCTGATACCGGTTCAAACACAAGTATTGACATTCGTACGATCTCAGCTGCTGAAGACCTTTTTCGGTTGTTTTCCAGTCGCATGGAACGCGGCAGACACCCGTCAGAGTCACTTGAAGCTTCTTCGATGACTCAAAAGTCTTCCTCATCAATGGGATTTACACCGCCAGCTGGCATCAGTAATCATGAACTAGGGAACTTTGAACGTGAGTCACAGATGATCACGTTTCCTCTTGACTTTGGGATATTGGAACGCGATATCCTCGATTTTGACTGGCCTTGAGCGATAAGCATAGGTCATGGCCGTGACGAGTCTGAAGAATAGCGTTCTCCCTTTTTTTCTGGAAATATTGTTTTATAATCTTATTGCTTCTGCGCAAGCTGTAAACATTTAGAACACTCTAAAGTTAGTAAATACTTAATTTCGTCACTTCAGACACAAGCTTCATGAAGCTATCTATGAAGCCGAGATTGTAAACACTTGTATCACATCAGTCTTCACTAGTAAAGTGTAAAAAGCCTTTATTCATGACTACTCATAATCATCATGCTCTCCACAGAGGTTCTTCAGGGCCTCCCTCACAAATCGAATTATTCCTCCTTCAGGAAAAATGCTAGGAAACAGATTTCTACGTCTGGATCTATCATTGCTGTCAAAAAGCTTGTAAACACATAGTACTACTTCCCAATCTAACTTATTTACTTAAGGTATGTACCTTTATAGTGGTTATTCGAGTTCTCAAGTATTTTCCTTCTCCATGATAAAGCTCTAGCTAACGTAGTGCGAACGGAATGTCTCTTTGAACGACTTACACAATGACAAGCAGCCCGAGAATCACTTGGCCCATTTCCCTCCCACCCTTAAAGCCTCTGTGTCTAGTCCTCCCTTATCAGCAAATCACTGGTCTTCCTGCTCTCCCCAGTGCAACTTGTCCATGCGCTGATAGTAACTCGCATCCGTCTCTCCATCTTCTTTGGGGGTGTCAACTGCCTTAGAGCAGAGCTTTGGGTGACATAGACCAATGGCATTTGTCAGTGTTTGGTCACACTCGTTATCCACCCGATACGTGTGACAGATGTCACAGTTGCCATTGGTCTGGTGTATGCAGTCTTGGGCGTTGTAACATCCATAATCGTAGCAGAACATATTGGCACGCTTCGTCGTCAGGATATTGTCCAGGTCGTATTTCACTAACCAGTCGCCGGCCGGCTCATGCTCCGGTAGTTTGATGTCCGGGTTATGTCTGTTTATACCTTTGGCGAACAGCACCCGAGCATAGGGCGGGTCGAATACAAAGGTCGTTTCACCAGTCACGGAATTTTTCAATTCTGCCGTAGCCTCAATCTCGTCAATGGCAACGTACTCGTCTGGTTGTGGTACGGAGGCCTTTTCAATTTGTAGTTTAATATGCTGCGCCGTCTCAGGATCAAACCGGGTGTCGATGAAGTATAAGGCGTTACGACCGGCTGCAGCCACGTAAGGAGTATCTGGCGCCACAATTCGACGGCCCAGAGAGGTTTCAATCACTTCTGGTACATAGCTACTACTCCGGTATTCCTCTTGGAAAGTCGGAGAGCCCTCACATGGTCGGAATGGGTTTAGAAGCATGGTGATCAGTAGCAGTGGGAAGAGCATGGTTGGGATCAGAATAAGAATCAGAGGAAGAGAAGCTGAACTATATTTACTGCCAACTTCATAGGTCTTTATGCGCGGATTTTATATCATGATTCTGTCAGTGGCTTGGAAGTTCGGTTCATGGCAGTGAGGATCATGGGTCCCTGCGCGCCAAACACTTGCATTAGTTTGATTATAAAGAACACAACAGGAATGATTGGCCACTGCATTGCTACCGTCACAGACTCGGCGATGCCGAAGGTGAGCGGTTGGCTGCTAAATGTTGCTGCCTACGTTCGATTGTGTTTGTTGTCGTGATTGGTGAGAGGGACGTCCATTTTGGTCCACCCTATAGGGCGAATATATAAGAGATAGCAAGGGTCTCTTTCGAGTCGGAAGGCCGGCGGGGTACAAGACTGGAAATGTCCTAGACATCCTGTAGGTGAATGCTATCTGGACTCTACACCTGGCAAACGAACTATGTTGCTAAGCTATTTTAGGACTTTGATTTGACCACCAAGCCTAAATAGGAAATAGTAATTTATGATGTCTCGAATTTAAGTTCTACTAAGTCACATCTAGCCTAGGCCATCCCCTAAGTAGTACCCTTGCTAGTGCCTCCGGCGCTAGCCCTGGAAATGGTCAGAATAGGAGACAAAACTGGAAAGGCGTTGGCTAGAATTGCCTAGTCTTCGCTGAAGTTACAGCACTAAGCCTAGGCTAAGATGGTAGGGTCCGTCGAAGCAACTACTGAGGATCCAAACAGAGGCCTCCATTTTGTACAAATTGGTTCAAGCAAAAGCCTTGGTCGATGATAATATTCTAAAAATGACGCTCCTCAATCGAAAGTATGTCCTACTACAATACATACAGCTCACTGACTTGGTATTTGTAGTATTGGTCAAAAAGTTTATACGTATCTCATGCGCCCGCCGGAGCGCCGAAGAATAGACAAGGATTGTTATCGTTTGTCTCACCCTAGTCTGGCACCATGAGAGCCTAAGACTTCTTGAGCTAGATATCCTGAGCTTAGCTTCAACGATCAGTTACTCTGTGGGCCCCGAGATATCTTGCCACTTCTTCCACCCCCATCCTGCCGTGAAATGACACTCCGTGGAGTAGGATTCCTGCTCGCGCAGGGACCTGACTCGCCTACGGAAGGCAGCGTGTGCGTGGGCCCAACGGAGGTGCTTTTTTGCCTTTGGTCTAACTGAACTCAGGCTTTCACTAACCTGTGAGGGTTTTTGAGCACATGGTTGTGGGATAAGGCGGGTGCTGCCGCACCTGGGAGTCTGATCAGTTGGAGAGGTGGAAGATGTCTAATTGGGAAAATGACCTCTCAAGTAAAGACCAAAATCTGAATACCCAAATTATTACTCATAGGGGCTCATGTGGGTAGGAAGCATGCTTTACATTATGAGCTGCTCAAGTCGAAAATAGAGGATGGAATTCTCATCCTGGAAGATACCAAGCTGGGCACGTGGAACACCGCCTACCACTTCATTCATTCACCCTCTCTTCTCTAAATTTTCCCTTCAAATCGTCTGGCGTGTGGCCCCTGCCGCTTTATTTGAGCTATCCCTACTTACGGAGTTGAGTCCATCATGTGGCTTGATTTCTACTTCTTATCACCTTAGCTCTTCGAAAATGCGGTTACGTTTGGTGGACCAGCGGGTGATTCCGTGCCTTTCGCCCCTCTCGTGCTAGGCAGTTTTATGAGACCTGGTGGATGTTCCTTTCAGGGCAAAGTGCGCCTGTTGATATTGCCACTACGCTGTGACACACTGGGTTCGCCGGCTTATGTCTGTTACTCGTCTCCCGCAGAATCGTTGGCCGAAAAGCCCAAGTTCTCAAACTCCCGGACCTTCCAATCACATATGAATTGCGTTGATCAAAGCAAGGTCACAGTTCTATTGTGTGGCGCTAAGTCCAAATGCTAGGTCAAGTCTTCATTTGTTCGTGCTAGGCCTAGCTGCCCAAGTCTTGTGTGTTGGTCAACCCCTCCTGCTCATCGAATGGTTGAATACAAGGCATGGTGATCGCTGTATGGGCATGGTTGGTCGTATCTTTTTGGGCAATCTCAGCCCGCCAGGAGCGCCAAAAAATAAATGAATAAATGAATAAATAAATAAAATAGTATACGGCAGGGCAGTGTGATCTAGACCTTCATACGGCTTTAGGCTAAGGGGATGCCAGCAAGGCTGTCGCCCTCCAATGAAGTCTGTTGTCCAAGTTTCCAAAATCCTGATCAATCATGCCGCCCTCAACTTGATCTCATCTGGGGCATCTTACTTCCTATTCCTTGCTGTCGGGTGACCTGACAGCGCTGTAGTGGTGGTGGAACATGGTGGAACCACAAATTTAGTCCTAGTCAGTGGCCATGAGATTGGCCCGATCGATGGCTACCTGACTCTTTCAACGATCAAAGTGAGGCCTGCTCACAAAAAGGTAGACCAGGCCATCTGGATTCCTGTTTGAGAACAAGGTAGCCATAGTAATCCGGAAACTATGCCCAAAGTAGATGGTCAGCAAGCGAAGAAAATCTCCATCTTTGTTCCTCCCCAGCCAAGGGCATGCGGTCAGCGTCGATGTGGTATCATCTTCCTGGAAGCTATTCTCCCATAGAGGAAAGCGAGCTTTGCATTGATCTTAGCAATGGTTTCAGTCCCTATCCCCTGTAAACGCGGTGTAGACCACGTGTTCCTCCTTCGAATGCTCTACGCCTAGCCTCAGTCCGACCGCCTGCTTGAACCTGGCATTAACCACTGTCTTGATAATATTGGTCACAATCTGCTTGAATGCTTGCATCTGACAAGCACAGCTAATTCTCAGCTTGGCGATAAGTCATGGCAGTGGCGTTTCAACTGACTGGGGATACTGATTTCCTTAGCAGGCCAACCTGGGACCCAGAGACGTGTGGCTGCTATCGCTCGCCCGGTCGTGTCCGAGTCCCAACCTCTCAATACGATGAGAAGGCGCTATCAGATAAGGCCCCTAACATGAGCGTGGTTTTGGAGCGGGGCAAGCACCTCTTGTAGACCCTGGTAGGTTGGAGCCAGCGAAATTGAGCTCGGATCAGGCAATCCTTCCTCCTGATTCAGAGGCTTCTTCCCAAATAGCCATGACTCTCCTTCATCTACGACTGTGTATAATAGGGGAAGATGCAACATATGTATTACGTGCAATCAGCTTTTGAGATAGTGTCGCGCCGTAAACCGCTCCAGCTGGACAGAAAGCGTTGGGCTACTTTCAAGGGAACACTGACCATCAAATGGATAGAGTAACAAATCCTTTAAAGGTTACTGCAGCAATAGTCACACCCGGTAGACCAACAAAAGAGGGGGAAAGAGCCATGGGTGGGCATCACATGCCATAACGAAACCAACCATGCACCTTGCTGACCAAGCATTGTAGAAGCCTTCATGCAGTTTGCTTCAGCGAGGCTGACATGCAGCCCAATCTCTTAGCGCCAAAAAACACAACTGTGTATTTAGGGACGGAATAAGTGGTTCAGAGACTATACCTTGAAAAGAGGACACAGAAGAGAAGTAAACGGGGTTGCCTGCAGTGAGCGAAGGAAGGCAAGTCCTGTGCGCACCACCTCTCCTCCACATTGGTAGTACGTTTAGCGTGCCTCTCTAACCTCCCGGTATATTTTCTTAGACATATTCCCGAAAAGCCCTGGGGGCCCGTAACATCTAACGGTATCATAGTCACCTTTCAATATTCCCAAGACTGCGCAGTTTGGTCTAGAACCAGACTGAACGAGGTACTGCAGCACGAGTAGCGTACTAATAAGAGTATACGCCCTGTAGCTGCTTGATATTCTTGATTATATACACTAGCATACTTAGTAGTGTTATCGAAACCGATATTCTGGGCTTGGACGGACCATGTCTTGGAATTTGACCTACAATATATACTCAATTAGTCCAAGTAGTTCTACAGTGATGGCGCTACTGTTCTTACTATCCTACCTTCTCTAAAGCAAATTAGTGTGGCTTTGGAAATATACCAATGTAGTCGGAGGTGTCTTTGAAGCGTTAGAGATGTAGTAGGGGAAGAATGGCATGAGTTTCCTTACGAAATCTCGTATGGCCTTGGCTGCGGGGTATATGATTTTCATCTCCATTAGAGACCTTGTGAACCAATTGTTCAACACAACCCATTCCACGACTCATTCGGGCGAATCAATACAAAGCTTACGTCAATCACTTTTGTAGCCACTGTTTGTGTAGTCAATGGAGGTTATAGGATGCATTTTGACGTCGGATGATATTTTGATGTCCATTAAGACACTAAGTGATAGCTAATCTGACTCAAAGATCCGTAGTGATTATTTTGACTCTTTCCTGAATATTATATGACGTAGTAACTATATAGTCGTTTTAGCCGTTGTACTTATATTGACGTTATGACCCTCAGTTGGTCAGAATAAACACAAGAGGGGTGTTGATAATGGACAATTGCTGCTACTGCTAAGGAGTCTTCCAGCATCCTAGGTCATTTAGACATTTGGTACTCCATTTTCAAGCAGTCTCAACCAAACAACAAGGTGCCAGTCCTGATCGTTAGCCATAGTGTCAGCTACATTAGCCGACTCACCGTTCACTGCCGAAGGATAGACGAATGCACAAGTTGCCGATCCTCCCGGAAAGAAATTGACCATATTAGCTCGGAGGATCTGTAGAGCAATATCATCTGTCTGCTTGGTTCTCAGCTCCCCAGGAAGGCGGATAAGTGCTTGGCTAGTCAACGCACTCCAGTAATGAGGAAACACGTCGCCCCACTGACGACGGAGGCCAAACCAATAATCATCCCAGTGGCGGTTAGCGATTTGGTAGAGCCGAGCATGTGGCTGTGACCCGGAGAAGGCCATGAGCCAGTTAAGACGCTCCTGTGTCTCGCTCAGCAGCGTGGCGTTTCTCGTTAAATTATATGTGTCTGCGACCATCTCGACTAGAGGTTCGACAATAGACTGCTCATAGCTTACTTCGGATGACGGGAGGTCGCGTCCATCGTTCACGAAGCTCATAGTTGTATCGACAAGTTTTCTTTTGTACGTGGCGCTTTCGTTGTACCGTCCGAGTTTTTCGAGGCTGTCGCAGAGCTCTAGGATGGCTTGGGAAAAGAAGATG